TTGTGTGGGAGCTAGCATTTCTTTACTCTTTTCGGGTTCTAAGACCGGAGAGCTTGGTTGAGATGCAAAATCTCTATTATCCGTTTGATCTATGCAATTAATTATGGATCCCATTATTGCTATATAATGCACAATATATTTAATAAAAAATTATCGAATAGTACATACGTTGGCGCTGTGCGTGGCTCAGCAAATTCTTCTTTCGAGCACATGATTACTGCTCCGAATCGGCCTAAATCGGGATGGATGAACAAACTTCGGCGGAGGCTTGTGTATCTGATATATGGCCTGTTTGTTTAACCAATCTTCGATCTCTACAAGAGTAAACTTATATCCGATCTTCTTACAAGCATCCCGCATTTTTTCGGCGGACTGATAATAACCTTTAGGCTGGTAATACAGCTTATGGAATATGAGATCTCGATATAGAAGTTGTTCTCTTTTGGGTCTTTTAAACACTTCGAAACTGACTTCTTTTTTCCATGTATCATTTATGGTATTACAATTATAGAGATCCTGTATTGATAAATTCTTTAGAATAAATGGTATTAATTCTGGTGTGATCTGATCAAGCAAATTAGATGTATGCATTAGAAGATTTTTCAATCAGAAAAATATCCCTGACTGGTGATCGGCTAAATTGACTTCGAACTCCGACCTTTTCCTTGATACGAGTACCCGCAAACTATATAAGGATCAAATCGATCAACAACACTAATATCTAGGTTTCGTAAATTTGGACATGAGTTTATGATACAACGTATAGATTCATCTGTGATCCAATGCGTCTCCATAAAATGGGAGCACCGCATCTGTACCACAATCGGGATACAAATAGAGCGGGGTAGAAGGATTTATCTATCAATAAAAAATGTAAAATCTGTTCTAATAGTTCTGGTATAATAAAAATGCTTGTATGCGCCATGCGAAGTGCCTCTGGCTAAATAGTCTGTATTATATGCTGTATCTTTAATCGAAAAAATAAATTAGCTGAGCCTGATCCGGGCTAGTTGGATTGGACTACCATATATTCACATAGCTCAGGATAATCAAATACGCCTACAACTCTATCCTGTCTTATATTCTTGACAGTGATAAGGCCAGTTTTCCGATCATATATGTGCTCATATTTGGCTGGATTGCATAGTGGCAAATACTGTATAGGGTTAGTAGTAAACTTACCTGCGGTCTTGTGCCTATTATTCCTCGATTTCTTAGCCATACATGATAATTTATCCGATTCAATTAATCCCTCAAAAATAAACTTTTGGAAGGGAATGTCTACAGCTCAAACATTTCGCATGATTGGAAGGGTCCATTTGGGAGCAGGCACAATGCTTATTTGCTAACTCCACTAATACTTCATTCTTCCCTAGTCGGTAATGGAGATCATCTATTCTTTTTTCCAGTGTGAGGATCTGCTTTGAAAGCATCCCGAATAATTTACCACAATTTATTTCTGCTTCCGTTATTCGATTAATGATACTATCTGGCGGATAATTAAAATGCTTGCTTGTGATCCTAAAGGGATCGATAATATAGCTAAAAAAATAATGCGCAGAAATTTATGCGTCTTCCAAGTACTAGTAAAATTTAGTAGCTATACATATTGATAATATCAGATATTTCATCATTTTCTGCGGTCTCCGATTCCGGCTCTGAGTTATGTTCATCTTCGGGACCAGAGTCTTCTGATTCCGTATCGCCCATAGCATAATTATCACCTGCATCAAGACGATCTGATTCTTGTCTCAATGCGATTTTTGAAAGTCGTTTAAGCTCCTCTGGAGTTGCATTCTTACCACCATGAATTCTGGAAGCATGCCTTTTTCCATAACGTCTTAATTCCCTAGGTATGCTTCTATAAGGTTCTTGCTTTAAGAATT